AGACTCAAACTTACTGCGGATCCAGACATTTGAATTGAGAAAGCTTCCTGGAGAGGTGGCGAAACGTCTTCAAATCTTGGAAACCAAGTCCAGTGGATATTTTTTGTATTTTTACGGAAGTACGTCATGATACCTGATCTTTCGTCCCACGTCCTTCATCTTTCACTGCTACCCTCTTCATCCTTTTTTTTTCTTCCTTCTTCCTTATTACGTACTTCATCCTACATACCTTGTTCCTCATTTCTAAACTCTAGATCCCTCATCCCTCTCTTCTTCATCCAAATCTCCTTAATTCTTTATTCCTACCTTAACTGTTCCCATCCCCTTCCTTCCTCTTAACAATCCACTTCCTCCTTCGTCCTGCTATATATTTTTGTCCCCTTGACTAAGTAGTAATTCTAAGCTCTATATAGTATCTTGGGGTTACTCAATCAACTTTCAGAGACAGAACCCTCCCCTCCCTAAATCTGCAGCTCCAAATACTCTCGCAGCAAGTCCCTCAAAAAGATTCTGTCATAATCTAACCCTCTTTTTTCCTACAACATTGGGAAATACCTCCAATAAACCTATTAAACTTAAACGTTTGCATGTTCCTTGTTACCAAAACCCTAAGGAATGCAGGACATTTACCGCTCTATCTCTAAGCTATTTTTAAATTAAACCCATCAATGAAGAAAGTCCAGATCAAGAAAAACACATTTGTATTCATGATCATCTGCAAGTAAGCAGCCCCTAGAGCCAATTTCTTTTCTCATCTCATTGTTGCTTTAGATGCAGGAGTTACATTTCCATTCAGGCCTTTCAGAGCGAGGCTATGGAGCAAGCTCTGCCCTTGAAAACTTAAACAGCCATCCACTTTGTAAAAGCCCAGCCAATTAAGAGTCCCATTATCTCCCAATTCAACCTCCACAGAATCCACTTCTTGGTGCAGAAAAGTGGAGACAAAAAGCTCCATCAATGCAGACTTGAGACTAAAGAAGGGTAACATTGTCTTCTTCAACAGTTTCTATACGTTTTTTCTTTGCAAGATGACTGTTTCTTGCATAAGAGAATGTGCATTAATACTAAGTATATTTGAGATGTTTGCATTCATTGGGACAAGCAGTTGAGAAGCAGCATCGGTTGAAATTGATTGAGCTTTCTGAAAACGGTGGAGGGAATTCATTTATTCAGACGGCGAGCGTGCAAAGGTCAGCGGCACAGATTGATGGAGCCATGTCTCATTTGACAGGACGTCTTCCACCACACTGCACACAATCACACACCTCCATATCCTGCAGCGGCTCCGGTGTCACCAAAACGGACGATGGGAGGTGGAATTTATTCATCTTCACAGCATAAAATTCATCATTCCTTCTCCTGTGCAACACAAGACATCTTCCTGACATCATGATGAAGGACAAGCAGAGGTATCAATTTTCAAAGACCTGAAACTTTGGTTGAACAGGGTGCATTTCAATAAATGGGATTTTTTTTACTTTTTTCAATTCAAAAAGTAAACTTTGTATATAAAGAAAGATTATTGTAATGTAATTGGAATATTATTTCTGATTAATTTCAGTAGAAAATATTTCTAATTTTAAAATGTGACGTTATGGTCTTCACTTTTTTGAAGATTAAAGCGATCAGCAAAGCAGATTTAGCTTCATATAAGTGCTTTACTCAAACATAAAGGAAAAAATATGATAGGAAAGAGTTTCAAAAGCCAGAAGGATTTGCTTTGAACTGTTGCTTTATTAGTTATTGAGAAGTCTGCAAGTTATCCACCATTTCCCATCACTTTCAAACACTTTACTAAGCTTTGAAGATTCAAGCCACACTATGTTTTTTTTTTTACTCCAAAGCAACAGAAACAGATCAATACTTTTAATTGAACTTTAATTCATAATGTGACTGATAGATTCACCGGAAAAAAAGTTAGTTTTTCAGAAACAACGATTGTGTTTGGTTATTTGTTGGGATGGGGGTGCCCCTGCTCATCGTTCTAGTATGGCTGACTGCCAATCCTCAATGAGGCTCATTAGAAATTGTAAATGTTTGATAAATCACAGTTATATTTCAAAGAGGTGCACACAACTTTAAAGACCAGGTCCCAATCCTGAGATGTTCTGGTTGGTGTTAGCTTATGTTAGAATTTAATTTCTATTTTCATTGATAGAATGAACTGGAAGTCAACAAAACTTCTTAATTAGGCTTCCTCTTTCAGCTTGATTTCTGTCTCAGCTGCTCCACATTTCCTATTACTGGGCAGAAACATCATTTTTTAAATATGGAGGCAGAGACGGTCAGATCTGATACTCCCCTCTAGTCTTTATTTATAGAACTTGAAGGGTTTGGTTTTTCATAAATGGACAGATAATCCTGTTAAAGGGAAGCTCTGTTTCTGCACCTTGAAGCTCTCTCTCTCCGGTTCTTTTCCCTGAAAATAGATCACTAAGGACAAACTCTTTAAATAACAATTCATAACTTATATGTATTAAATAATCATGAGACATGACAACAGATTCTGATAGAAATTGTAATCTTACTCAGATCAGAGAAGTTGCTTAGGGTTACAAAAGGCAGCTGCTTACCAACCGGGCTCATTTCTCAGGAAGTGGCCCAGATAAATGGTTAAAGAAGCATTTCATACAACTCCAATCTGCCACATCATCACATTCTACATCAAACAGGTTTGCAGAGGAGGAGACATCCATGGCTCCAGCCTTATCAAAATATTACACTTTGTTCTTGGCTGAAGGACACCGCTCTCATTCCATTTCCAAATATTTGCCACGTACAGAATGAAGATTATAACTTTATATAGCCAGACTGAGGAACTGGCCTAATTAGATAAACTACTGGGGAAAACATCAGTTCTGACACGAAACAGAAAGGTAAGATTAAGGTGTAATAAACTTCACACATCATCAATGATAATTATCCTAACAGCT